TCGAATCCTCAAGATAATAAACTAATTCGTCCAATGTTCGACCAGGTATGAAAGTTTTGCCGTTGGATGTGAAATCGTGTCGCTATATCGGCAGCCAAGGCAAAATATCAAAGCAGTTAGGGAATGCGGTACCTTTCAACGTCACTGAGGATGTTCGCTGGAATTCCATTTTTCTCTCGAAGCAGCGGAGGGACGATTCCATCGAATAGATGCCCTTCTTCTGCAAGCTTAAGTAGTATAAGCCTTGCAATTTCTCCAAGGTACATGCCACTTATAAGCTTCTCAAACCTTAAGGTATAAAATTAATTAACGATAACGGGAACGATAATGGTAAGGCGTGAGACAAACGAAATAATGCTTGCTAAAATATGGGAGTACTAATAGGTTCTTTCAAAACATACACTTGTTTTCCCGGATTGAGCGAATCCCTGTCAATTTGTTTATCAAATTCGGTGAGGAATTCATCTATACATCCATGTTCACCAAAGGCGCCCCACTCTGTGTTTATCACGACCGACTCAATTTCTGGAGGGAAGCCGGTAATTTTTTTCGCATTTTTCAGCTTTTCCACATAAGCCGCGTTTGTACCGGTGCCTTGATTAAGAGAGTAAATATTTCTATATGAAGCAAAAATAACGAGCACCATTATCCAAAATAGTCTTTTCACAGAGAGAGAAAGAGAGAGGAATGGGAGAACATGCTAAGGTAGAGGGCTTTACAAAGAGTGCAAGTTAGTAAATGCAACAACTGCAATGCATTTACTGCCAGTATGATTTTCAGACCGTTTTGTAGTGCAAAATCCCTACCTGTTTGTCTTCTGAGTATCTAATTTCGTAAAGGTCGCTCGGTCGATATTAGTCTATATAAGCAGTTATGTTTATATCCTATAGTAAATAAATTGTAATAGTTCCTACAAGTACAAAATTAAGAAATGGGGAAAATTATAAAAGGTCATAACTTTTCATGTGAAATTTTGAAAAACAAGATAGTAGTCGCTTTAGTTAAATTATGTTTCAACAATAACGCTCCGGTCTACATGATAAAACTTAGTAGCCATATTCCTTGTTCGTATGCTTTTGATATTGCCAGCGAAAGTGTGAATGCAGAATTAGGTATTTTGCCTCCTCTTGCGATTCATTTATTTCCAAAGATATGAAGGCTTATATATCCCAACCGCATATTATTCGGACAAAACTGCGAACTTATACAAGTTAATCCTTACCAGTTTGCTTATATAATCAGAAAAAACACAAATATGCCTTTGTAGTTGCTTTAATGTGAGTTTAGTAAAGAACACTATCCGGGTTACCTACTAGAAGTCATCAGCACAATCTACTTTTATCAACCGTTAATGCTTTTCAACTTTTAAAATTGTTAATTTCAAACTCTCATTAGGTGAATTTTCCTTGAATCGATCCTACAGACCTTCAAGTAACCAAGGCACACTTTAAGCTTTTTATGTTTCGAGTTATGGTTCATTAAACATGTACAAGCTAGTGCATTTTCTAGCACATTAGGCTAAAATTCGACTAATTTGAAGCGCATAATGCTTTAAGGAAGTACAAGTGGGATGAAGTACAGGTTAGTAGTAGCAGTTTCAAATATCAGAATGCGGAGTGTTATAAATCCAGACATGTTTCAGGTGGTTATTCATCTCCAGTAATGCAAAGCAGCTGAATGGAAAGTGACAACCATACCCTATAGAAGCTATCTTATTAAATGTACACTGCTTTTAATTGTCACGCATGAAGATAGACCATGAGGCACCAGCATCAAGGTCAGCAAGAGTAAACAAGACTTCAACTATGGCAAAGATTCGTAAGCAATATATTGAAAATTTCCCGTCAAACGTATCAATGGACCTGTTGAATGCGTCAGCTTTGCCGAGCCTAGTAACCAGCCCTCACCTGTGAACTGACCAAGCCATGCTTAGCGCTTTTGTCACATCTGAATAACGGTCTTTGATCAGCGGGCTAATCCAGACGAGGTTGTTCGGCTTATGCATGTATTCGTGTACTATAGTCCCCACAATTAGATGCAATCTCCTTCCTATTCAGTCTCAAAGAAAGAGCGGCATGTAAGTCCGCAAATTATCCAGTTAAACGGGGGTCACTTTATCCTTGTAATAAGAACATGTCCGCCGTGCAGTTATGCAGTCGGCTTAGTTGATTCAGTGACCCTAGATATAGATGTACATCTAACCCTTTCGGGAGAGCAGTTCCGATCTTCTGTGAAGTGGTTCATGTCAAAGTCAACATCTTGACTCTCGGTGAGGCCCGACTGT